GGGTGAACTTGGCTGGTTGCCAACCAAAAGATTGCATCGACCTGTTGAGCTCTAGTTACGATCTCAGCATAAGATAGTGGGCTGTGGGCGGCCAGATGGTGGTGAATCTCGTCGCGAAGACCAATACGAAAGTGGCGGGACCTCTGCCCCTCGTCTGCAATCAGGTGGGGGATAAAGAAACTGAGGTAAGTGAACTCGCGCTCATACTCGTCCACTGTCCTGTCGTCCTGCTTCAGGACTAGAAATTGGCGCTCCATCCTTTCGCGGTAGTGCCCCAAAATTAACTAACTTTGCTAAAATTCTCACTAGAATAGTATAGCCAATTAAGAAAATAACTACACTATACTTAAATTAATTTATTATCATATTGCCGAAAATATCTAGCTTCGCTAGAGTTCCGGTTTACGCTTAGCTCTTCTAAGTTAAGGCTAGAGTTCTCAACTCGTATTGAAGGATTGATAAGCCTTTTAATTACTCTTACTAAAATAGTCATGCATTCGAAATAATAAATACTGGTTCAGGTGATGTACCTTGGAGTCGGCGCGGCGTGAGCGTGGTGTTGTCATATCTTTCTAGACTTTTCGTATACAGAAACTCTAACCGCGCTCTGATACCAACTATAATACCCCGCCTAGACTTACTAAAATCAGAGTAAATTTTTCGGGCTATAATAGAAAAACACTGATTTAATTTTTGAAAACTCTTATTAATTTTTTGAAATACTTCAACTTTAATCTTCGGGATGCTACTCAACTTTAATCTATTTTCTTTAATCTACTATGCATGTAGCCATGTAAAATTCGTTTTGGAATTAAGTCCATGAAAATTTACTGGAATTACATATGCAGTTTGAAATTCTCAAATACTGAAATAGTAGTCTGAAATCCTGAAATACAGAAATACTAGTCTGAAATTCTGATATACTGAAATATTGTTCTGAAATACTGAAATACTGAGATACTGAAATACTGAAATACTGATTGTGGAAGCAAATGCAAGCATGCATCAACAAAACATAATAACTCAAACATGTTCAAATATACATGACATGTTTACTTAAAAATATCCTTGCTATCACCACCACCACATCATCGGCTCACACTCCACACTCGACACCGTCACCTGAGAAATGGTTAGTGGGGGGCGTGATCATAAATGAATCAAAGATGGTCCGCCAAAACCGATACTAAATATACAACTCATATAATAACATATCATGACATTGACATATATGCAAGTACTTACTGGATTGGCAGAAACTATACGATGATAAACATTTTACTAATGGATCGCGAATTAAACGTACCTCCAACAAATATATAAATCAGTAAACTATCTATAGCTGCTACTTAACTGACTGTCTATAATTGCTGCTTAACTGACTGATTATAGTTGCTGCTTGACTAATTGACTGTAACTGCTACTCGACTGACTAACAAAAACTGTATCTCGACTGACTAACAAAAATTGTTGCTCGACTGACCGACTATAACTGCTGCTCGACTGACTGACTATAACTGTGCTCGGCTGACTGACTATAACCGTGCTCGGCTGACTGACTATAACTGCAGCATCGCGAACTAAACATACCTCTTATATGAGAAGCATATAACAACCTAAGCATACATCTAATATGATAAAACACATCACAACCTAAGCATACATCTAATATGATAAAACACATCACAAAGGCGTGTAAAATAAAAAATAGTCTATAATTGTAGCTCAATTTACTGTCTATAACTGCTCTCAACTGACTGCTTAACTGGCGAGAAGGACACTTGGCCTTCACGCTTACGATAAGCAATTGTAGGACCTAATCTGTAGGTCGTTGCCCATACTAAGGCAAAACTAACTTTTATGCACTTCTAAGGTTGAAGTTTAACTCACAACTGAACTAGAGTCCTTGATACTAACTGGGGTTCGAAAACATTGGTTATGATAAAACCTATCTCCAGGTCAAAGCCCCTTACAAAAAAATTATTCTAACCTCATCTGAAATTTCAACTTAACTCAAAGTTGTTCTAAGGCTCTTAATTCACTTAACTCAAAGCTGCACTAGAATTCTTATCTCATCTTAACTAGCGTTCGATTCACTCAGCTAGAAAGGACCTACTCGCTAGGTAATTGCCCTTAGTCAGGCACTCTTACATACATAGCTCAACCAAGATATTGCGATTGTAGAAAATGTAGTACCAGTACAGGGTCCCCACCTGATATGCTGAAAGGCAAGTGCTGAATGGATTGCATTTGTCGGAGGCTCGACTCTCCACAAGCTACAAAATATGCAAGCACAAAATATATTCTAAGTACTTAAGCTTAAACTGAAAAACTCAGTATTATAATCTGATCTGACTAGGTTTGCTCACTTGGCTTTAAAATAATTTAAAACTCACTTTAGGAATTTACGAGCTGATTTTGAAAATTTATTGTCTTTGAAGCATATTAGAGTTCTTCGAAATAATTTTAGGTCTGAACTTAAATCTGACTGATCTTATTTGACTGGTTCGGAAAAACTGGATTCTCGGTTCACGCTCATAATGATGTTCCGAACTGAACTCCCGAATCGTCCGGACTGCCCGGACTGATTCGGCAGAACTGAAATTCTTCGAACCGTCCGGCCTGTCTGGACTGGTTTGATTGAACTGTACCGATGGCTCACTCAATACCGGATGATCATTCGCTTGACTATGTGCATCTCGGCTCAATCGTGGCCCGGGTTCGGCGTGGCAACTCGAGGTCGGCAAGAACATGACTGAGACGGCTTAGCCAATGCACTAGTTTGAAATGGTGCAACGGTCACTGATGCATGGGCGTGCTTGGACCACGGCTAACGGAAAATATCGCGTTGACGGTAGGTTGGACAGATGCACGGGTGTTGAACAGAGCGCAGGGGCGCGACTCGGTAGGACTCGTTGCACGAGCACGCACTCGGTGGCTCGACTCCAATGAATGGACGACAATGCGAGACATGTGCGGGATGACGATACGCGTTGAGGAAACGTGCTAAAGCACGTAGGTCGATTAATTCCGATCGCTACGAGGCACTCGGCCTCGATGCCTTCTTAGGCTCGATAATGATCCTGTCGGCGACTAACCGACCGACCGACCACATCCCGACACCCAGGGACTCATTTATCGTCTAAAGTCATTTATATAGTACTAGGTTTCGGGCGATTATGCACGGATCTAATAATTTTTCGGTTAAGGAACCAGATAAAACTAGGATTTTAGTTCCCCTATGAAATTAACTCATTTTTGTTCGAAGTTTTATCACTAAATCCAAAATGATTTATGAGGAATTTACATCAATTAATTTCACCAAAATCCCAACTGGAACGATTTTTATAAATACTGTACAATGAGACTAATGTCCCAAATTGTTAACCCTATCAAACGATCTCTAAAAATTACGAAATTATAACCACAATATCATCAACATATATATAATTTATGGTACAAGCAGAATCAGCTTCTAACTTATCCAACAAAAAATCGAGTTTTTTTTTGTCCAATTTCATAAATCCGGTTCGTATATCAAACGGACTTCAAAATTTCTCAAGTTTTAACCTAAGACTCAAGAAAATTTTATGAGACTTATCCAAATGGAATAATAATGTTTGGATCATCTCACAATATATTATGAATTTATGGCTCTTAAACCCAATAAATTCATATAAAATCATATCTCACTCATTTCTTTCATTTTCCATTTTTAAAATAAACTAAAATACTCGTCTAATGCCATGGAGTTGAGTTTCAACTATTGTACCTCAGAATGGGCTCAAAATAAAAATTGAAAGATGGAGGTGCTGTGAAAATGGCACGACCGCGAGAAACTTGGGCCTGCAGGGTGCTGTGGTCGCGAGCTGCGGGCGTGGGGGCTCAGGGCTGAGCTGGGCGACTCGGCTGCGACCTTGCGGTGCGGCCTCGACTTAAAACGAATGTTGGCCAAAAAAATAGCCGGATTTTGTGAAGGTGGATGGCTAATGAGCTAGAAAATGGACTTAATATTGATTTTTGCTAAAGAATTGCTCTTGAATGATAATGGAGATGGATAGATCTAGGGTTTATATTGCTGGGAAGAAGATGAATAGTGAAAAATGTAGAAATAAGGTTAAGTGTGTGTAGTATTTACAGAATGAGGGGAGACTCGGGTTTCATGACCTTAATGGACTCAACATTGGGCTTTTAGCATTTTAAAATCGGGCTAGTGAATTTATTCGACTTGGGGCTCTATTACATTGAATATTGATTAAGGAGTTAAATGCTCGGCTAAAAAAACTAATCGGACTTGGACTAAATAAATTAGTCGATCAATTTAAATAATATAACTGGGCTCGGATTAAAAATCGAACATAGGCTCGATTATTTAAATAGGCTAAATTAGGCTAAGTTAAAATCGATCGTCGGCTCGATTTAATTAAATGTGTCGGGATAAAATCGAACATAGGCTCGATTAACTGAAATGAGCCAGCTAAAATAATTGGACTCGCTCGTTTATTGGGCTTCGGCTCAACTTAATGAAATTTTCGATTATTCCAAGGCTCTGTTTTAAAAAATTGAACCGACACTTGGGCTAAATAAATTCGATTTTAATTATTAAAATCGAACGAATTCTCCGTGGCTTAGACTTAATAATAATTACTCGATTTAATTCAACGAATAATACTTAAATGCCTCAAATAAGGAAATCTAATATTTATGGAAATAAAGTCGAGCTCCATAAATATTAAAAATAATCTGAGCGTTACAGTGGTTCTCTTCGATTTTGGTCTAGGCGGATGGGATGGCCGACGATGTGGGTTGTGGTCTGGGTTTCTGAGGTTGGGGCCTAGGTCGGTGTTGTCTGTATGGGTGGTTTTTGGGGTGAATGTCTCCGATTGTGGGTTGGCGATGTCTATTTAGATTGGGGTTGGATCTGTTGGTATCGCCAGTTAGGTGTTCTCTTGCAGTTTTGGATCGGGATCCTGGGTCGTGTCTTAGTTTGTATGGATGAATGTCTTGTTGGTATCGCCTCTGTTTTGATAGGTATGGCTTCCTGTTACAGGAAGAGTTGTAGTAGCTGTAGTCTTTGTTTTTGAGTTTTCTTTGTGTTTAGGTTGTGTTAATATTTTTTCTCTCCCGTTAAGGATGTGTTTGGTGACTCTCCACTTGTGGGAGTTTTTTTTAGTCTCCTTTTGAGAGTTTTCTTGTGGTTTGTGTTGTTTTTCAAGTTTGTAAGTAAGTGGGAAAATATATGTTCTATATTATTCAAAAGATATGTACACATATATATAGGAACATAATGAGCCTAAATCTAATCCTACAATATATATACAAAATATATTATAACCCTATATACAAAATATATTCTAACACCCCCCCTCAAACTCAAGGTGGTATAGTAGATATCAACTTGAG